TAATGTCATGTAACATATTAAACACCGTCTTGCGTAAACTATTTGGAACAAATGGCCTAGGATTCTCACCTGTCATTTCACACCAAATATTAAAATTTAAAAGTGGAATTTGAATTAATTTAAGGTTATGTGATGTAGCTCCAGATTTTAATGTGTTAAGTTCCTCATCCTGTTCTTGTTCATTTTGTAAAACTTTGAAATTCAGTTCTGTACCCTTAATTGCATCAACTTCGAAAGCTCGAGATAATGTGTCAGCTATAATGTTCTCCTGTCCTTTAATATATCGTATGTCATTAGTAAATTGTGCAATGAATTCCATATGTCTAGTTTGTCTCGGACTACGTTCGGGTTTTGAACTCAAAGCATACATCAAAGGCTTGTGATCCGTAAAAACTGTAAATTGTCGTCCTTCTAAAAGATAGCGAAAATGTTTAATGTTCAAATAAATAGCTAGCAACTCCCTGTCAAATGCACTGTACTTAACTTCGGATGGAGAAAGTTTCTTAGAAAAGAAAGCTAGTGGCTCTGTTTTGTTATCAAACGTTTGATGTATGACACCACCAATTGCCGTATTAGATGCATCCACATTTAAAGAGAGTTTGGCATCTTTGTTAAAATGATTTAACAATATCGTCGAGGCAAACTTTTCTTTAATACATTCAAAGGCTTTATTTGTTGTGTCATCCCAAATTAAGGACTTGTCACGTTTCTTAGTTGTTCGATTGATTAAATCGTAGATAACTGCCGTAAATTCAGCTAATTTTGGTACATATCGATGGTAATAATTAACCATGCCTATAAATTTCTGCGCCTGTTTAATAGATTTAGGACGTTCAAAACTACGAATAGCTATCACTTTTTCATCAGAGGGTCTAATTCCTGCCCCAGAAATATTATGTCCTAAAAAGTCAACACTTGTTACACCGAAAGTACATTTACTTGGTTTGATATTTAACCCGTACTCTGTTAGGCGTTGGAAAAGTATATGGAGATCTTTAAAATGCTGTTCTTCATTTTCACTTGCAACCAATAGATCATCAATATATGTAAAAACAAAATCTAAACCACTAACTATTCATTAATAAATCTTTGAAAAGTTTGCGCTGAATTTCTTAGTCCGAAAGGCCTTCGTATAAATTCACACATACCGAAAGGTGTCGCTATTGCAGTTTTATAGATATCCTCTTCTGCCATTGGAATTTGGTGGTAGGCTCTCACCAAATCTAATTTCGAAAATACATACTTATTTCTGAGATTCATGTTAAAATCTTGAATATGAGGTAAAGGATAACGGCCCGATACAGTCACAACGTTAAGTCTCCGAAATATATATAGCTGATATTTCGGTTTTATTAATCACTTCCCAAATATTATCAACTAGTTTCACCAATTCATTTATATCATTGGTACTTGAACTAGCTAATATCACACTAAGATTTTTTGGCAATTTTCTCAGCCAAAGTTTCTTTAAAATATCTTGACTCAATTTGGAACCTGCAAGCAACATGAGCGACCGACAAAATTCAGAGGGTTTACGATCACCCATCTCTGAATCTGACAAAATTTTATCTAATTTCTTATTTTCGCTTAAAGAATGCCTTTCAATTAAGACTTTCTTTAATTCTGAAAACTTGTTGTTATGCGGAGTATTTTGAATGAAATCTAATATTGTAACTATTACTTCTTGCGGAAGCGCTGTGATTGTGTGTTCACATTTTGTAGTATCTTGTGTAATGTTTTTCATGTTAAATTGCATTTCTGTATGTACAAACCAAGCTTCTGGACAACTTGTCCAAAACTGTGGAAGCTTGACTGAAGTTGCATACACTAGCATAAGGATTTGCCAACTCCTCTTGAAAAGAGTTGTTTTGCAAATCTATAAGCGAGTCATTTAAATTATTAGTCCGTGTAGATGTGTGTATATCATGTGGGGGTGAACGAAACATTATGATAACTTCACACAAATAATCTCTAAAAGGAGTGTTTAAAACTGATCCGAAACAAGTTTAAATATACGGTACAATGAAAATATATTATATATATATCTAATTTCAAGGGGGAAAAAAAATTTCATAAATATTAGACAAAAAGATACAGCTCACCACTGTGTACTGAAATTGCTGGTATTAACAGCGACCGGACGTTGCTTATTGCTGCAGCTGCTTTGTATGTTCCTTTGGTTACTGTACCAGTTGCTGCCTGCACTTTCGCTACTCAAATGCTTTGCCGTCGTCGGATGATAGTAATAATAATGATTGATGTGGGGTAGTGCAATACCAAGCTGTGATGGTAATTGTGGGAATTCTCCTAGCTGTTGGCGAGTCGGCCAGGTCGGAAAGAAGTTGGACTATGTCTTGTCGAAATAGCCAAGAAACCATCGGCACTAGGTAATGCAGCAGCAGCAGTAGATATCGTAGGTTCTTAATGTTCATAATTCACTTATCGTAGGCCGGTGAACTCGATTGCATTGGCTGTGAACAGGATAGTGAGACAATCAGTTATTGCACATGTTGTGGTTGATGATTCAAGCTGTTGACAGTGATAGTTTTGTTGCAGTTTCAACAGTTGGGCTCCTTGCACCAGTAAAACAATAGGATGGAATTTCACAAGTTAATACGATAATCCTGTTAGCACACCGGTAACTCCTAGTGAAATATTTTTGGTGCTGATTGCTTGCTTGCAGTACGTAATATCTCCTGGCAGGATCGCCAATTGTAGTTAACAATATATAAATTTATTCAAAAAAAGGTTTAATCTAAAAATCCAAATGAAATTATGTTGTTTACAGCTCAAGAAAAATATTTGAAGTAATCTAATTTTCTCTTTGCTGTTTGAATTACAAAATCACTTAAATATAAAATTTCTAAAATTACAAAGTTGAAGTTAACACAGTACAATAAAAGACAGTAACACAAATACGAAACCCTACAGCAGGTTTCCCCGGTTTGAGCAGTGGGACCACTCTCCCCGCCTTCCAGATGTCTGGGATGATGAGAGTGGCCATAGACAAATTGAGGACCTCCGTTAGGTATTTAATTTTTCAGCATCAGCATGCATATTGCGTCGGGACCCATGGCTTTGGAGGCTTTCGCCTTCCCGATGGCCACCGCAAGTGAAAGCAAGAGGAGCACAGGTTGTTGGCAGTTTGTGCAGCCTTCTGGTCACTCGACGCTTGGCTTTGTCCACCGGAGGATGCAGTATGAACTGCCGGCTAAAATAGCTCGCGCATCGCTCCGGGTCCGACGAAGCATGGTCGCCGAAAGAAATTTCGGCTCTGTCATCGTGCTTCGTCGGATTGGAAAATGACGTCACGGTTGACCAAAGCTTACTCACACCAGAGGTGAAGTTACAGGTCTTAGATGCTCTTCCCACTTCTTCCGCTTATGTACGTTTACTAGTTGCCAAATCTCCGCGTTGAGATCCCTGATACGGGGATCTCCGGGATCGGCCTAACGAAGGCTATCAAGCTCATCGGCTAGAACAGCCGCTTCAGCAGGGAAATTTGGACGTGGGTCCGTAATACATCCTGCCGGTACGAAGCGAGCTGCAGCAGCGGTGACAATCCTGCGGAACTTACGTTTACCAAGGTGGACGTCGGTTGGTGTGGGGAGAGCAGTGAAGGTGTTTTCAGTAAATTCCGCGAAGCCTTTCCAATCAGCTTGTGCCCCGGAAGCAAAGTCGGTTGGTTTATCGATCGAGATGACTATGGGCAGATGGTCTGATGCTAAAGTCAGCATAAGTCGCCATGATATGCTGTTTATCAGACCAGCGCTGACCATTGTTATGTCTGGCGAGCTGCAGCAACTGCCCATAAACCTGGTGGGTGCGTCGTCGTTCATTGTGCAGAATGTCGAATCGCCTATCTGCTCAGCCAAGTCAGTTCCCCTACGATCGTTTGACAGGCTTGAGTGCCAAAGATCGTGGTGCGCATTAAAGTCGCCTACTACCATACGGTTTTCACCTCTGAGCAGCGCGCCTATGTCAGGGTGATATCCTGCCGGGCAGCAGTTGACAGGGGGTATATAAACGTTAAATATTTCTGCCCTGACATTCTAGGGTGGTATCCCTGCGTTCCATGTCTGCTTCGATAAGACGATACTGCACGGTGTGGTGCGTAATGAACGCTAAGCCACCACCATTATCTCGATCGCGATCTCGACGGTGCACGTTGTACCCGGCACAATTCAACAGTGTTGAATTGCTGTGCAACTTCGTCTCTTGAATCGCAGCTATCAATATGCCATGCCTTCCCATGAACACGGTTATCTCTTCGATCTTGCTCTGAAGCCCGTTACAGTTAAATTGAAGGAGCTTCATGTGGTTCGGGAGACGTGTGGTGATGCGGGGTGCGAGGGATGTGTTTGGGCGTGACGCCGTTGGCTGTGTGCGCTACTGAGGTGGTTGCCGGCCTGTGGTGGTGGCGGGAGGCGCCGCAGTTGAGATCTACAGTTGAGTGGTGCGCCGAGCTGAGCATGCCCTAAAGTGGCACCAGCCAAGGCAGGTGTTGCACTTGACTGATGTCACAATACGGAATATCCTGGTCTGACATACCGTGCAGAGTATAGGAGGAACCAGGAGTTGTTGGCGGCGGCGTGTGGGTAGTGGTGCGGTTGTGTGTGTTTTGTGGTCTGTCGTGGCTGTGGTATGGTCTGTGGTGTTGTTATGTTGTTGTGCTGTGGTGACTGTGTGGGCTTCTCAGGTGGACTGGGGTTAGCCGTGGAGGCTGCTCTGTTTGAGCAGCAGGGGGCCACGTACGACGTGGTCCACTGCTGATGTGTCCGTAATCCTGAGCAGACTCTAGGGTGACTCCACCCCTCGCAGGCATTACACTCGGCTGAGGTGGAGTTGTGGGGTAGTCGTCTCTGGCATACACAGCAGGTGTAGAATTCTGGCCCTGGGTTTCACTCGATGCCCGCCCTGCGTAGAAGAATACGTAGCGAATGTAGCCCCATGGACGAGCAATTTCTGAGATACTTCGCCGACCTAATCGGGGTTAGATTGCCGAAACAACAGCCCTTGGTCGGGTAAAACCCGAGTCATTCCGGCACGTAGAACCGGCTGTCGTAGGAATGGGCTATCGTGTCGTTCGTGCTTGTGTACATTGCGTTCGGTACAAGCCTACACTGCTGCAGCAAGTCATGGGACCGCTACCATCTCCAACCATCGCGGTCATTTGAACGCTGCGGACTTAATTTTTGCGGCCCAATAAACACTTATATGCGAATTCGAGGCTAGGCGCCTACCAAATCATATTTGGCTGTATTCGTTTGCCTTGTCACTAAGGCGGTTCACATCGAGGTGATCTCTGACTTATCTACAAAGGCATTTCTGAATGCTCTGAAACGTATGGCTGGTCGCCGAAAGATGCCGTACGACATTTTTTGTGACAACGCCACGAATTTTGTAGGAGCATCCAACCACCTAAAGGAGCTTAAGCAATTTCTCTTTAAAGATGAAACTCATAAAGAAATTATTAACTTTTGCTCATCAGACTTCATTAATTTTCATTTGATTCCACCCAGGGCACCCCACTTTGGCGGCCTCTGCAAGACAGCAGTCAAAAGCGGAAAGGGACTACTCTATAGCACATTGGCAAACGCAAGACTAACCCTTGAAGAACTGAGCACGGTTGCGGTGGAGATAGAGGCTATACTAAACTCGCGCCCGCTCTCACCGCTATCAGCAGACCCCAATGACTTTGAAGCACTCACTGCTGGACATTTTTTGGTCGGTTACTCGTTACGCGCCCTACCCGAACGCTCACTCGAAGACAGAAACACATCGAATTTGGACCGTTACGATATGATCACCGCCATCAAGCAACGCTTTTGGCGCCGCTGGTCTGCAGATTATGGCAACGAATTATGATCACGGGTCAAGTGGACGTCACCGGCGCCGATAAAAAATATAGAAGTCGGACTTGAGAACCGGCAAACCTTAAAATAGTGCAAGTAACCAAAAAGTTACACAAAAGGTTTTGTTTTGAGAGAAAGTACACTGTTTCCATATCTGTCAGTTTGCAAAAGCTAAGTCCCGCAAGTTACATAAAAATAACCAACTGAATCTTTTTCCAGACAAGACATGCATTGCTGATAGCTCTGGTCCATTCCTCGCTTTAGCAAATGCATCTGGGACGCACATAGTTCTTATTCTTCTTATTTGGCGCCTGAGAGATTTTGGCCGAGTCCAAACAGTAAGTCAGTCGTTTCTCTTCTGTGCCAACTGACGCCTATGGGAAATGCCAAGTGAAGCGAAGTTCTTCTCCGCTTGGTCCTTCTATCGCAGTGGGGCCTTCCTCTTCCACCATCACAACCCGCGTTGATAACTTCTAGAGCTGGAGCATTTCTGTCCATTCGTACGGCATGACCAAGCCAACATAGCAGTTGTATTTTGTACATAGGCAAAAATAAAAATAAAATATTTTCTTGCGTTCTATTTATTAAAATAATGTGACAATACACTTTCAAGTTGTAAAAACACAGTGCTCGTAAAGCCATAAAAGTACTATCTTGCCCTCCGGAGTTATATTTTTTAAGAACAATCCACAAACTCGTCACTTGTTCGGATCGTTCCTGAATTTGCATGTGACGTATTTGTTAAATAGTTTATTTAATTGGGAAGTGCGAAACTGGTTGCGGATCGACGAATACCTGGTCTAAGCTAACTGTGGTCAAATGATCAGATGTCTCATTGCCAGGCACTCCCGAGTGACCCGGCACTCAGAGTAAAGCGAGCTGGTTATGTTTGCCAACATTACTTGCATTGTAGAACTAGTTTGGAAGTACTTAGATAGAGGGCTGGCCAATGACTTAAGTGCAGCTGGGCTGTCGCTATCTATGGCCTTGAGGATTGCAAATACTTCAGCCGGAGGACCGAAGCAAATTCCGTAAGAAAAAAGTAAAGATTATCCCCATTAACCTCGAAAAGGTCCAAGATTCAGTGTGCAAGATCGGGCTCAGTGCTGGTATTAAACAAGCATTCCCCCTAAGGAAAGTCAGCATTATAGACGCAAGTGCTCAAATCTCTGTCGCGCCTCAGTCAGTGTTATACCAATATCCGTTTCTTTTTAGTCTGCAGGTGACTTTGAAGGCTTCATCACGTATGAAGACACAAAGTGACGGTAAGTGCAGCAGTGCGTGAAGAGCACTATACACCACTCTTAAAAATTTAAGTAAAATAAAGAGGCAACCATTTTGTTCCTTACTATCGAAACCAGATACATTTGCGTGACCCCAACTTACAACTCGTGGGCCCCCATATTTTTTTAATGCCAGCGTTGACCCCGTCGAGTCTCCCATGGACCCCTGGGGGTCTGCCTGGACCTCTTTGGGAATCACTGGTCTAGCAGATGAATGTATGTATGTATGTATGTACTTATGTATGTATGTAAGGCATTAGTATTTTACGTCTTCGTTTACAAAAATATATGGAATTATATCAAACTTTAAAAAATGTGGAGTATAATAAATATTTATTATTAACAATTATGCAGCCTTTTTCCATTATTTTTAAGATTCAGTGATTTAAATTTTAAATTGATCTGGTAGGAAATTCGACTTGGAAGCATGTACGCAGCAGCGATAATCCCGCGGACATGGGAACAAGACAATGCAAACCTCTCGACTAAGCCTCCTCTTCTCTGTGGTGGCATGGGCCCGAATGGCTAACCCGACACCTGGCCAAAATCAGCTGCGCGCTCCATTAACCCTCCGGAGGTCCGCCGAGTCAACGCCTTTCACGCTGCCGAAGATGAATCCGACATTTTAGATCGCTTATCGTCCTTTTCCCGCATGCTTAAAGTTATGGCATATGTCTGCAAGTTCTTAGATCGCTTAAAGAGCCGAACTCAAGCCGCACAGGGTCCTCTCTCATTACCCCTATCGCACAATGATCTCCGCTCCACCAAACGTCGTCTCATTGCCTTAATGCAAAACCGTTACTTCCCCCGCGAAGTTTCATGCTTATCGCAGTCAGTGCCAATCGCTAAGAAAAGCCATTGCTAGTTATCAACCCCTTTCTAGACAAATGTGGGTTGCTCCGGGTCAATGGTCGTTTGGCCCACTCCACTCAGCTATAATGAGCGTCACTCATTATACCCGAAAAATCTCGATTTGCTGCTCTCTATCTTCGTTTTCTCCACGAACTTCTCTTACACGCAGAAATTCGGCTCACGCAGCAAATGATAAGACAGGAGTGCGGCGTTGCACTAACGCTCCGCCTTTCACCACCACCGGTGTAGATTTTGCTGGGCTTTTCAAGTAAAAGCCTCCATGCTAAAGTCCTCCACCATTGTGAAAGGCTACGCGGCCGTATTTGTGTGTTTCACGACAAAGGCGGTTCACCTTGAGCTGTGCTCTGATTTAACAACAAACGCATTTCTCGCCGCGTTTGCCCGTTTTGTTGGGCGTCGAGGCTGTACAGCAAGAATGATGAGCGACAATGGCACTACTTTCATTGGAGCCAAAAGAGCAACAGAGAAGGGATTATGGGAATCCGCCGTCAAAAGCTTTAAGTTACATCTCAAGCGAACGGCTGGAGCACATAAATTCACGTTTGAAGAATTCACCACTCTATTAGTTAGGATCGAAGCGTTATTTAATTGCAGTCCCATCGCCGCTCTCTCCCAAGATCCAACAGAGTTCACGGCCCTCACCCCTGGCCATTTCTTAAGGGGAACTGCCCTCCTTTCTTCCGGAAGTACATCATAGAAATTTGTCTCACCTCAATAGGTGGGAAAGAGTTAAAGTTATGCACCATCAATTCAGCCGCCGTTGGAAGGAAGATTATCTCAAAGACCTTCAGAAACGTAATAGGTGGAAAGACACTAAAGTTTCACCGAAATCTGGAGAATGCGTCCTCATTACAGATGATACGTTGCCGCCCACTGAGTGGCGTCTTGGACGCATTGAAACGACCCATCCCGATCCAGATGAACATATTCGCGTAGTTGACGTACGCACCAAAACCGGCATACTCACTCATTCGATTGTAAAGCTATGCCCTTTGCCATCCGCAAATTTCCCTTTAACCCCCACAGCAGATAACTAAACAACTTTTCACCGACTGCACTATACCCGCACTGCTTACCTACATTTGTTTATCACAGTTACTTGGCAGGCAATACACGAGTATGCAGCGCTTCCGGGCCCTACAGCCCCATCAGAGGTTTACGATCCTGCGCGCGCACCATATTGCACGAACTGCCTCGCGCTCTCACACCGGACCGTGGACTGTTCCTCCAATGGGAACTGCCGAACGTGTGGACAGTTCCACCATACGCTTCTGCACCGCAGCGAGGTCAACGCATCTAGTGGCCATACCATGCACTCAGCACAACCGCCAAAGGGAGTCCCTTGTACAAGGAGCACATTCATTAAGTTTCAACGCAATCACCGCGCTACCATTAATGGTCCTCAATCTCGCCGCTCTGTACCGCAGAACATACGCTCCGTTCAACGCAGGCAACACATCGTGCAACGCAAACAACGCCCGTGCAACGCAATCATCGCAGCACCTATCAAGGCAAGGCCACTAAGCTCTTGGTGCACGAAGCCATGCGCACCCTTAAAGAGAGTTGAAGGATGTACTAGCCGCTTAGCGCGTCTAGGCGAGGTAGGATGGCTAAGCGAGTATAGCCCAACGAGTCACGTTGCATTTTACATGTATTTATACTTATTTATCATCAGGTATTTTGATTCACTGTCATTGTATTGCTGCATTTCTCATGTTTAAAGTAAATTCGAATTGAATTGTAATAAAATGTAATTAGAAAAGTTGTAATTGAATTGAATTGTAATCGAACACCCTTAATTTTAGAATTTAATTGAATTGTACAGAATCAGACCTAAGAAAGGCAGCTGGCAATGTCAAGGTCGATAACGCAGACTAAGAATGACAGTGTAGGAAGAAAAAACAAAAGTGACATTTTGTATCAAGTTTAAGTTTCGCAAATCACCAATCGTTCGCTTTTTCGCAACCCGCCGCCGGTGTAATTTTTATATCGCTGTATACGCCTTATATCTAAACTAAATAAATTCTCGCCTTTGTCAAGTCCAAAGCGTGTTTTAATTTATACCAATCAGTTACCGAGCTCCTGTTTGCCGCGCTATTCACGATTTTGGTGTGCAGCAAAATTTGAACCCGGTGTTCGCAGATTTTGTGACGCCTCTCTTTGGGATCGTAATCCCCACCGCCAGTAACATCCGCAGCACCCACTTCATCGCTAACCATCACCACCGCCAGCAGTTCCACCGCCAGCAACTCATCGTTCCCCTCCAACCACTGCCGTCCACCGCCATCAATTCCCCTGAGCCCGAGCTCACCTGGACAGTCTCCCAGCACCGTCACCCAGCATCCCGAGATCTCTAGGGCTCAAACTCGTCGTAGAATATCTATACGAATCTTCATTACGAACGGATTCAGTGAATACTTCACGGATTTCGAATTTAGGGTCGTAGCCATTCGGATTTTGTGATAACACTTTCGTAGATTTCACGAAAATCGAAGCTATGATGGATTCTGTGATGCAATGTTTTATGCAAACGTGCTTGTTACAATTAATACAACAAATTTTTGTTATATTATTCCTGACTTAAATTTCTTTTGCGTAGCTGGTTCGTTTCTATATAATTTAAAAACATCCTTTTTCTCTAAAACCTCAGCCGCATATTTGTATGACGACACCAACTTTCAAATAGAAATATCAACTGAACGATATAACGCAGCAAATAACCGCTAACTGTGAACCATGCTGCATCTCAAAACCTACAAAGTCACTAAGTGACAGTGGCCGGCTACTACAATTGGTATTTGAAAATCACAAACAGGTTAACAGCTGAGGAGGCTGTACAGAACTATCCTATTACCTTCCTTTTACCCAGCAAGAACAGTGACGGTCACTTTCCTAGTAACGTGACCGTCACGCGTGCCCATTAAGTTCGACACGTTTTGCTATCACATTCTTAATAGTGAATCAAAAATGCTCCCAGAAGTGTTGTGTACGTGTGATTTTTCAAACCAAATAGTTTGCCTGCTTGCTCATATGTGAATAGATTAGCTTGACTACTTACTCATATGCGAAAAATACCTCGCAAGAAAAAACAATAGATGGCACTCCAATCAAAAATTATTACATATGTGTTAGTAACAGCATACAATTTGCGTTTGTGTTGGAGTTTCGGTCACGCTGGTTTTGCTGGGTATTAGCTCGGGATGTAACTATGTAATATTGATGCGCCTAAAAGATGCAGCGATTTCTGTTCTCAAGTTACATACCTGATGACAGTACGAATGGCAATTATAATAGGGAGGTTTTAGTTTTTTTAACTATTATTTTATTTTTGATAAACTTCACTTCTGGCCTCGATTGGCGGATAGTGAAGATCACAAAAATTAGTAAAGCACGCAAAGAGATTTCTGTATCCAATCTCTAAACCTGAAAGCCTTTCATTCTAAAAGTCTCTACCCCTTACCACTGCACATAGGGGTATTTGGCCGATTTAGGCGGCCAAAATTATTTTTATGAAAGTTTTAACTCAAAATATTTAGAAAAGACGTGTTACGATGTTTAAAATAGTAAATGTTTAAAATCAAGTAAATATATGTGGAGGACCAGTGGCGTAGCCAGGATTTGGCTTTGGGAGGGATGAAAAAAAAGTTCCATCGATAACTTAAATTTGAGACACACAATGGCTAGAGGCGTCGCCTGAGTGCATTTTTTCATATATTTATGTATGTGCCAATTTTACCGTTATGTATTTTTTATCTACTCGTTTAATCCATGGGGTATTCATGCTTTATTTAAATTTAAAAATTTAAATTACTATACCGTTTTAAAAATCTGAAAATTCACTGCGGGAAATTTTTGTATTCTCTTTTTGTCTTCGCGTTCTCGTTTTTACGTTTATAAGTTTTGAAAAAAGGTTTTGAACGAACCATTATATCACATTCCTAGGCAAGTTGAAAGAATATTTTCGATACTAAAATTTATTAAAACAAAAACGTTGAAATCAGCTTCATATAGAAACAGTGTCATCGTTAATTAAGAAGAGATGTTCTTAAATATCATAACTTTACGACACTCACATATTGACTAGATTTGACTATTTATTTTATTATACTTTAATTTGAATTATTTGTTTATAAAAATATAGTTTATTCCTTTACAAACACTTAATGAAAATAAGTTCAATTTTGAACAACATTAAAAAAACAAACTTTCTTAAAAATTTCGAACTTTTTATTCCAATTTTATCTCTTAATATTTTGCAGTTTTTTAGCTCATTCAATTTTAGTCTAATAAAGTGCAAATTTAAAGTAGCGGTGATTTACAGTTGATGTATGGCATATTTTTGACGATGTCGGTATTATCTAAGTATGTTCGATGATTTTTTTAATAAAGAAAACGAGCAACGCCTTCATCAAAAAAAAAATAAATATTAAAAATCAACG